TATGAGTTTAACTTGTTCAAGCTGCAGTTTCAGTTAATACCCAGGTATCTTACAGACTAAAAGAAAAGCTTCATTGCTATGCCTTTAACTGCATTATATATTTTCAGACATTTTAGGTGAAATACAAGGATATCCTTTCATTATTTTGTAGACCTATATTGGTCTCACTAGAATATGAAAAAAGAAGTGAATGAGACTATTTTGCTGCACTTGTTCTTATTTAACAGCAATTTATTCATGTTTAAAGATATGTTTAGACTGAGAAGAAAAAAGGAAGTGATTAAATTATTTCATTCATTTCTTTTGTATAGGTTTCAGATCTGTTTCATTTTAACAAGCTTGGAAGAACAGAGCATTTTCAGTCTCATAAATGTCCATCTTTGTAAATCTCTACAGTACCCACTCCTACAGCTGCCAGAAACACATCCACTTGAATCCATGCCTTGTGAGGACAAAGCTGTCATACACATCAGGACAGAAATTTTCTGTATTGATAAGAATTTGCCTTGTGTAACAGCAGCTTTTAAAAACATTTCCACTTTCAGCATTGCTCCAGTTTCAGGACAAAGCCTGAGCATCAGGCTTAACAGAGGAATTGTTAATACAGTGTGGGTTTGGATCTAAGGATTATTCAAACTTGTCAAAGAAACTAATACTTCTTGTATCAAAAGGTGGAGGAACACAAACATTTAGCTTCTCTCTGAGTATAATTCAAACTTCCTTGTAGATCATTTGGCACCACTGACTGATAATTCAGAACATAAATTTTAAAATCAGCACTACAATCTAAATACTTAATCTTCTCTGAGCAATTGAAGACTTCTGGGATTTTATGTGCATCCATCTAGGGGAAAACATATTACTAATTCTCCAAACAAACTGATGGGAGTGAGGCACCCTGGTGAAGCCTCTGCTGAGCCTACAAATATTTTCTTTTTCTGTGATGAGATTTTTAATGCTCTGGCTTTAAGAAAAACAAAGTAATTTGTATTTAAAAGGAGAGTTACTTCAGGGTTTATTACAACCTAGTGAGAAGACTGCAACAAGGGTTTTGTAAATGTGAATCCATAAAAACAAAACCATACAGCTCAACTAGGCACAGGAAGAAGAAACAGAAAAAGCAGCAGGAAGTTTGGTTCTTGACTGGGAAGATGTCTCCCAGAGCAAAGTGCTCCCATTGCTGCAGCCCTTTGTCACGGCAGGAGTGTCAGTTCCCCACAGCTCAGTTCAGCGAGGAATCGGCTCCCACCCTGCAGCTGCTGGGGACAGGTACAGCCATTGTGTTCTCCTTCCTCCACAGCCACCTGCACAAGGCTGAGGAAGAATCCCCTGCAGAACCCCAGGTAACCCCAAAACACACCAAGTGCTTGAGCTGTGGGAACACCTCTGTTTCCTTGTGCCCATGCTCTGCACATTGAGCTGTTATTCCTTGGATTATTGCCACAGTGCTCTCCAGTGCTGCCCTGGACTCAGTTCCACACCAGGCTGGTTGAACTCAAGGTTGGACATGGCTTGCCTCTTTACTACTGGTGATCCACTAGCAAAAACTCTTTAAAAACACCTTTCTTCATAGATTTGACTCTGCCTTATTAAATTAGTTTTGCTTACATTTAAAAAACTTAATAAAATCCACAACTTTTGCAAGTAACAAACAGCTGAATAAATTTATAATCAAAAGAATATGCTTTCAAGTAAAATAGTTCTGAAAACAAAACAAAGCCAAATTCATGTCGTATTAAGTGAAATAATTGTGTCCCTGGCTGAAGGGCAATATTCTTTTAATATGTAACATGGGATATTTATTTTTATAACAGTAACAGAGAAATACTCATCTAATTGCAAACAGTTCTCAAAAATATATTTGGACCCCAGATTTAAGACATCTGAATTCCAGAGACTGAAGGGAAGACAGATCTACAAAAATCAAGTCCTATCACATGGCTGACCTTCTCCCTATATATACCTCTTTGTTCTTTTGATATTCAAGTTTGTAGTTCCCTAGTGATTCCAAGAACTAATAAGAAATTCCTGGAGAGGAAATAACAATGAAAGCAGCTAAAGCAGCTGGAAGACTATACTTTTTTTTCTTTTTTCTTTTTTTTCTAATATAGCTCTCTTCATCATGACAGTCCGTTTTGAACTGCTTCTTCTGTATCTTATGTTAGACTTCCACATCTCATCTCAGCCAGATGGCAAATTAACTTACATTTATTTTCTGATTTTCATACTTCAGTGGTTTTTGAGTGTTGCTCAATTAACAAAATAAATACTTTGTGTTACTAAACCTGGTGTGTCTTGAGTTTTTACAAATTCCTAAAATCCTCGCCAGGTAAGATGTCTGCTCCTGCTAACTAGCTCACTGAAACCCTATGTCCTTCTAAGAGCCCATCAGCTAAAGTGTTCACTTTCTGGTTTAAAAAGGTCTCTCTACCTATCCTGGGAGAGATACTGGAAATATAAGTATTGCACTGCTTTGAAAGACACCAGTATTTTCCATGGGATGTTTCTTCAGACATCCATCACAATCTGAATACTTTCTAAGGTCTTAATCATTCATCATTTTAGATTAAGATCCAGTTTGGTGTCCTGCAGCCCAAATATTATTATAATGTAGTTTACTTTTGCAGACTTTATTTTGTGATTAAGACAAGGAGTTAACAGCGCTCAGTAATGCAGAGATGGGCATTACTTGCCATAGCAACACAAACTTCATCCTCAGCAACACTGTTCCTGACCTGATAGGGACATTCACTTGTGGGTATCTTCAATGCCCAAGTGCCTTGAAAAGTACTGGCTGACACAGCAATTTCTGCAATGTGCAAATTTTCACACCAGGAACTGGATGAAAAGAGTTGATCCATTTCACAAAAAGGGTTAAATACATTTCAAGGCAAGTGGCTGTTGCTAAATTCATGCATTCTGGCTTAGAATCAATATCTAACATCTGACGAGCACTGGACTGTATTGGCACACATTATTACTGAAGAGATGCTAGCACTAACAGCTTTAGTTCTGCTTGGGAGCACACACACGCATGTTGCATTCTTATTCCATATTGAGTGTCTATTCTGCTGCTATGATTTGATAGTACAGAGAGTGGAAGAACAGCAGACTCAGATTTTCCTTTGAAATTATAAATATAAGCATAGGAGTTCTGTATTGCTTGGCATGGAAGCTGTGATTTTGTCTTTCTTGCAGGCTGGCTTTGTTTAGGACACTGACAGATTTTTCTGGATGATGGTGATCGGAAAAAATTTTCCAAAAGTCTATTAAGACAAGACCTGCAGTATCTGGCCACATACAATTATTAGGTGTGCCTTTACCTGCCTACATTTTAAAGGAGTCTATGAAGATGACAGGTGTGAAGTTATACTTCCTCTTTTGTTTTGCTGTGTAGGATAGTACAGAAGTGAAGCATTCATCTAACAATCTGTGGGTAAAACGTGTGTGAGCCAGAATGCAAAGGCAGTGTTCTCATCTTACATTCAGAGGTCACAACTCTGGAGTGGAGTACACAACATTTACAAGTCCTATCTGATATTAGCATGCAAAAATGGAGCTACACTGTGGGGAGGTCAACAAAATAAGCAAGCCCATGTCTCCCGCAATATATGCACATGTGGCTATTTGGCACCAATAAGGCAGATTATTTCCCAACTGGTTATTCTCTAGAAACAGTTTATCTGGGCAGGCATCTCCACACCAGCAATTACTGGCGTGTCCTGAAGGCCTAAAGAGTGTTTTGGTGCGCAGCAAAGGGAAACTGAGTAGGTTTGTACAATCTTCACCGTGATCTTCATTTCCCACTGTAGCTGGCTTTGTGTGAAAAGTTCTTGATGCAGAGTAACCAGGTGACAGGACAGGTGAAAGGCGAGAGGACACCAGCAGCACAACTGCTGTCACATTGTTGAGTGAAGGATTAAAAACAGCAGCCCAGGTGGGAGCTGTGCCACCTGCCTGGCACAGAACACTTGTCACTGAAGCTCCTTCTGCACTGCTGCTGGGAGATCCCACTTGAACACAGACAGACAAATTATTACTTTTCCACTTTGTCCTAATGATAAGGACCTTTGAAACAAGAAACAATGCAAATTATGGCCTTCAGCATCCTTATCAGCAGAGCAGCTCACTGCAAAAGTTAGTATTCCAACCTAACTAACTGGGCATATTTATATAGATACAGGAAATGGAAAAAGCAAACAATGCTGTCCTTTGCAATAGAACCCTATCCCTCCTGCGGCACTGCAACGTCAGCCTTCTCAGAACTATTTTTCCACGAAGGCAAAAGGCCCATGCGAGTCTCTCGTTTCTCCCTACGTGCCTGCCACCGCTGACTGTTCGCTGCTCACACGCAGCCCCCCTGAACTCCCATCAAAAGTGCTACGGTAACCCTCCATCCCACCTCCTCCGTGAATCCTGGCAGCTTGTCCGCTTTCCATGGCACCAACCCCACCGGCATCTGGATGGGGCCTCCCGGCCCTGCAGCCAAATCTAGCCGCAGCTGTGCTTTTCCCGCTTCTCGACCCTCTTCAAGGCCAGCAGTGCCTCCATGACACCGGCTTGGCCACTTTTTCCCTCACACCTTCCTTCCCTTTCCTAGAGGAGCTTCTTCACGGGGAAAGCTCTGCTGGGCGGCGGGGCAGGACAACGCCGGGGCCCGGGCGCCCAGTGACAAGCTGGCCCAGGCTGCGGCCCGCGCTCCCGCCCGCGGAGGGGCTACCGGGGAGGAAAAGCAGGCCCGGCTGGTTCCTCCCGGCCAACTTTTCTTCCCGGGGAGCCCCGCCAGCCCTCCCGCCCACGGCACGTGCTGATGGACGGGCGGGGGCGGCGGGCGCGCTCCCGCCTCCCCGCGGGCCCCCGCCGCGCGCGCGCGCCCGGCTGCAGTGATTGGAATCCGGCTCGCTCCCGCCCCGCCCCGCAGGGACGCGCCGGGAGCGCCTGCCGGGACACGGAGCCTGCGCCGAGCCGTCCCGCCCTCCCCGCCCGACACGCACCCGCCTTCGCCCCCGTCTCAGCGGAGCCGTCGGGGCCCCGGGAACGGCCCGCGGAGCGCGGCGGGGAGCGGGCCCCCTCCCCCTTCGCCTGCCGTCCCCGAGCGGAGGATGAGGAGCCCCCACCGCCGGTGAGTGCGGGCCGCGCCGCGGAGGCCTCGGCCGGGCGGCCGGGCGGGGAGAGCCGGGGCGCCCCGGGCAGCGCCGCGCCCGCAGCGCTCCCTCTGCTGCCGGGGGTGCGCGGGGCGCTCCCTCCGCCGCCAATGCCCCTTCCCCGCCGTCGGGCGGCCCGGCCTGGGCGGTGCCCGGCGGGGTCTGCGCCGGCCCCGGGCAGCGCCGTCGAAGGCGGACTCCCGTGCCGCTGGCGGCGGCCCTCCCACCCCGGTCTGGCTGCTCGGGGCCTGGGGAGCGCCCCCGGCCCGGCCGCCCTGCCCCGCCGCGGCGCTGGGGGCGCTGCCCGCCGCCGGGCCGGGCCGGGTGGGCGCCGCGGGGGCTGCGCGGGGCCCGCGGGTCCCTGCGTGGGCAGGGCCGGCGCGGCGCTCGCCGGCCCTGCTCTCCCTCCCTCCTGCCTCCCTTCCCGGTGTTGTAATCCCGGGCCCGGTGCCGAGCCGCCCCAGCCGGAGCGAGCGGCAGCGCCCGTCGTCGTGGGAAGGGTACGAGGAATAAGGTGCTTCGCCCTCCTTTTGTGCGAGCCTTGAACAAAGCTGGACGCCGGCTTTCCAAATCGGTTTTTGCAGTTCAACGATGTCAAACAAAAAAAGTCTGAAGAAATAATAACCCCAAATAACGTCCGTACTTTAGTCTTGAAAGATTGTGCTGTTGAGGACGGATTATGTACGCGGTTTTCATAGCTGATTACAAAATCTATTGAACAGCGTTCAAAAGCACATATGGGTTTTTACCACCTTTCAATCAACCATACTGATGTTGTTTTGGTAAAATTAAGAGTGAATTCAGCAGCAGGGAATGGTCGTAAGCTGTGGTACTTCCTTTCAGCAGTTGCCTGTTACTTTATGTCTAGTTGTATGACGATTTTTCCCAGTGTAAATTGATTGCTCTCCGAATTTGCATGTTTTGGTCTCTGCTTAGAGGTAATTATCTTTGAGTTCTTTTATCAAGTTAGCACGCTAGGGATTGTTCAGGCCTGTTACCTAAAGGGATGGAGAAGCTGCTTTTGTAGATAAGGATGACTCTCCAAATTGAAAGTCTTGTTTGATTTGCAGTAGAACCTAGTCCTGGAATAAAAAAGTTAACATAAGCACAATTTATAGTCAGATAATTTATCTACACAGTCTACAGCTAGAAATACTCCAGGTTGTAGGCATTTTTAGCAGCCTGGATAAAACTTGCTGATGATGTATTTGTCGTTTGGTCTTGCACTTTTGTTCTTTTGTACCTTTTTCTTAGGTTATGCATCACATTTTCTTTGGGGTGTGTGCGTGGGCTGTGTATTTGATATGTATTTATATAGACAGGTACAACCTGATAGGCTCTGAGATCTGGTTTGAAATTTTATGAAGGGTCTTCTTCATGCACCTGCAAGATTGAGCTGCCAGTCCTTAGTATGTCCTGCTGGCTGATCTCTTCCAGCGACAGAGAGTTTATGTGGCTGGATCTGAATTATTTCCTTCCCTTAATTCTGAAGTAATTTAGTTTTGAAATGGACCTCTGGATGTTATCTGTTTGAGCCTTTGTTCAAGTCAGAGCAGAAAGCTCTCTGTGAACTGCAAGCCTGAAATAGCGTGTTACTTGGAATTCACTGATTAAAGACATGTTTATTAAAACAGTATGTAGTTAGAGCACCGACTTTCTTAAAGCCAGTGTGTGGGACCCCAAATCCTAATGTTTTGGACACTGCTCTGCAATATCCTCACAGTGAAAATTGTTATGCACATTAAAAATACTGAATATGGTGGAGTATGTAAATGATATGTGAGCTTTTGCTGGATACCAGGTCTGACATACAGAGCTGAAGTAGCTTCTTTGGTAAATTGCTGGAAACCACAGATGAATGGAGACCAATCAATATCTATCAGAGAAACTGTTACAAATGTTTGTTTGTCCTTGCTTATTTCAAGCATCAGTTGTCAGAAAATTCATCCTATCTGGATGCCTGGGAAAGCCTCAGGTATTTCTTGGTTCCTTAGTAAAAAGAGAACATATTCTCAGTGCCTGGGATTTCTTCATTTATCTTACTGTCATCTGTAAATAAATGGCAGAAGGAACTTGGTAATTTAAAAGTATATCTTGTCAGAGTCATATGTGAGTACAGAAGGAGTACTTGAAGCCTTGTTTCCTTTGCTAGCATTCTGAAAATGCAAGACTTGGAGGCAGGCACAGAATGTGCCTGACAAAAAGTTTTTCCTTTCACTGCTGCTTTATTGGTTCCACTTTTCCCTTTCTTGGACAAGATCTGCAGAACCCTCTGCAGTTGTCCCACCACAGTCGGGCTGATGGGCCTCAGTTGAAGCGGTCTCTTTTGTGCCTTCCAGGATTGTTAGTGCTTTAAGGCAAAATGTGATTGCTTTCTGCCTTGTTTTCTTGAAATCTGTTAAAGGTTGATGTGAAAGCTGTTGAGGGTTCACTACTCTCTGGCACAAAAGTAACTAGACAGAGTAGTTACTCTCTAAAATGTTTCAAACTGACAGTGAATGTAAAAACTTGCCCTGCTACATTGTGTCCTTGTAGAATAACACGGAGACTACACTAGGTGATCCTTGGAACTGGGTAAAAGGTTGAAACAGTCACCTCATTTAAATTCTTTTGTGCAGAAAATGTAATTTTAGCAATCTCAGTGCTCTTATTGAGAAGATCTATGGAATAGCTGTTTTGTGAGGGATTTAGTCCAGAACCATCTGTGTAGTACATTGTATTTGGGGTGTGTAAAGCCCAAGAGGTTTAACTTGATAAAACAAATAGCTGGCCCACCACTGACCAGCAAAGCAAGGGACAAGCTGCCAACTTGCCAGGATGGACTTTGTTGAGAACTGGCTTCTCGGGACTTTGCTGGGTATATTTACAGAGCATATTAGGTGTATTTCGTGTCTGTTTGCCTCCAAAGTAAAACAAAGCAATTATGCCACTAGTCTACAATATGTATTTTGAAATTCATTGTAACAGGTTGGACACTGAAGCATTTTAGGTTCATATATTTGAGAAGAGCAAGAATTTCATTCATCTTGTGGTAGTGCAAAACCCTTGCTTGGGTTTCTGGTTATGACTCCATTGTTTCAGCTGTACACAAATGGTGTGAGAAATAGAGGCATTCTGTTTCAGATATATGATCCAGAGGGGTTTTCCTTGCCATTTTTCTAAAGGGTGTCCTGTAGCTGCCAGCCAATTTCACTGGAATTCTATGTGTTATGGTTAGGTTTAGTACTGTTTAATGACAGTCAGCATTAGGGTAGGAAAATAAACTCTGGTTCATGATTGTGATAATATTCATAGGTTGTATAAGCAGGAGGAAAGGAAAAGCCACAGCAAAGCCTTATTGAAGGTCAGGTGTGTCAACAGCTCTGAGTTTCTGCGTGACACCTGAGTCAGGTGTCTCTGAGTGACACCTGTAGTTACAGTGAAAGTGATTGCCCTGATGGAGCTGTCCCTGCCATCACCGCCCTGTCACTGGTGAGATGACTCTTCACGGGGAGGGGAAAGTGCTCTGAGTATCGTGATGGTGTGAACTTTGAATGTTTTAAAAGATTTTGATTAGACAAAAATCTGTGTAGTAGCAGTTTACAGGATGTGTTCCTGCAACATGCAGTTAAATGCTGTCATGCTCATTTTTTCCTCAAAATAGGATTCCCCAAAATACAGAGGAAAATGTAGTGCATTTAAATGTAATTCAGTTGTCATTAATTGTTTTGTATTAAAAGGGAAAAAAAAAATCAGTATTATTAATTCAGCTCTGCAGTATTGTAGCTTAATTTGCATCATATATTATAACAGCAGCAATGCTTTTTACAAAAATTTGATCTCACATAAATTTTTGTAGTGTGGTTTCAGTCAACTTTATTAATTTAAAATGTGGAAGCAACTAGCAATTCTTTTTGTCTGTATTCCCTCACTTCACCATCTTAAAGAGAAAACTGTCAGTCTTGCCATGCTTTTGTTGATAAACACACGCAGATGTAGCAGGGATAAGTTAGAGAAATATCTAAGTCTCACAAGATAGATATCAGGAAATAATCTGGTTTGTGGAAGCGATTTCCTTTTCACTGTTGCAGCTGTTGAAATGATTTAAATTTGCTTTTCTTGTTAAAAAAAAATCCCACCTTGAACCGTTTGTAGGCCTTTATACTTCCTCTGTGAGAGCCTGATCCCAAATTTGGCTGGAAATTGATGGACAGAGCTCAAATGACTTTGAAGGACTGAAGTCATCAAAGATTTCAGAGAATCAGTACTCTGCTCATGAGATTTGTGCAAATGAGCACATTGTGTGCTCAGAGTCAGAACGTTTGGGATATGGAAGTGGTGAATAAGCTCAGATAAAATTTTCTGATTTAATCATTCTTTTACAACCCTGTATTCAGTTGGAAATTCACAGTGCTGTGTTCAGGGAGAGGAACTGTTCCATGTGTTTTTGCAGGGGTGCAGGGGGCTTGAAAAGGAAGCATAAACAGAAGGGTTGGGAGGAATTGTTCAGCAGGAATAATGGATACTGAAAATATGAAAAATGTATAATCTACTTGTCCCTTTATATTTGGGAATGAAAGAACTTGGGGAGTAGTATGAGAACAAGAGGGATTTATCAGAAGAAAACAATGAACTTTGGTGACTGGAAATGTGAGTGAGGGGACCACAAAGCTGGGTAAAATGTGCTCTTCCTGGCTGCATGTTCTTCTTGATGAAAGAGAAAATGATCTTTAACAGAATGCCTTGAAGAAGATTTTAGAAACCCTCCTGTTTCCCTCTCAGTGTTGTGTGAGGAGCAGGCCTTGCAGTTGTCAGGTTTGGACAACTGAGAGTTAATTACAGCACAAGATTGGGACAGGGCACAGGGATGAACTGCCAGCTAATGAGGTGCAGCCATTCTCCTCACTCGGTGTTTCGGGCACTGACTCTATCTGAATCTATCTTCTCTTCAGGTTATGGCAAGGATTTTAGCAGTAATGAAAATTTCAGTAGTGGTACC